ATGAATGAACGAACATTAACGATAGTCGTCATTATTATTCAAATTTTTACAAGTTGCATTGCTTTTTTTATAAGGTATCGTTTGGTACATTTATTCTATGAAGTAATAAATATTTGATGTGCTTAGAAAAACAATGATTAAAATGTAACTATTCAAATATTATATCTTGCATGCAATGAATAAAGTGTACCTATAGTGTTTTACACCATTAGGGCGACTTTTTACACTACCCTGAATTTATGACGTAGTTATCGTTATGATAGATATTTAACGTGAGGCAAATCATTTGACTATAAGCATATTTATAAGAGATGAATTTTAACGTAAAAGAGATGAATTTAAAAGTAAAAGGGGATGGGAAGATGGGTTTGATTGTTTTGGGGGTTCAGTTAATAAATGCGTCTTATGTAATAATTAAATAGTAATTCGGGGTTTTTAATTTTGGCCCAATTCCAAAAATGCGCCCGAATGATTATCTCAAAACTGGCTAATCAATCGGTGTGAGGTGTTCTAAGTATACAAAATTTAAAAAAGAAATACCATAGATGCGTTTTATAATATATAATTGGTTTAATAATACGTTAGGGTGACGTCAAAAGAAACCAGACATATAAATTTTATACTGTATAATTTTCCTTTGACGTCACCCATATAAACCAAAATATTTTTTTCAAATGATTTAAATAAAAAATCTTAAGCAAGCCTGTTTTTCTTAAAAAAAAAAATTCTTAAAAAATCCATGGTCATTAGAACATAATATCCAGCTTGGTTATAAAAATTTTGTATGGTCTAGTTAGCATTTCAAAATATTTATATTTGTAGATCTCAATATTAAATAGACACTTATCAATTCAAATTTATTTTCAAATAACGATAATAATCTTTTTTGGTAAAAGAAACGTACGTACGAAATGGTTTAATTTTTTAAATTTTACGAACAGTTTTCTATGTTGTGTAACTCAGGATTTCATAAACCAATCAAATCGAATATCCGCCATGCTGACGCAATCAGATAAAGCAAAGGATGGACAACAAAATGCAGAAGAAAAATCGCAATATGGCTGAGGCAGTGGAATATGCAGCATCGAGCCCTGCAATAATTGATGAAATCACTACAGAAGAAGGCATTAAGAATTGTGTGGGATATAAAGCTGATGCTAATGAAACTAGTCTCGTCGTATGCACCTGGAAAAGGTGTAATAGGTATTTCACTAAGCTGGATAAATTTATAACTCATCGTAGCCGTGATCATGGCACAACGGATGTAGTAACAGATATCTGGATGTTTGGTAACCTGAACAAGGGAGAAATATCAGTC